GCCAGGTCTGTTTCAAAATCGAATCAAGAGCGATTGGAACTGTACAATTTGCAGAAGCTCTTGTCGTACACCGATCGTACCCTGTATACAACTGACGCGATCATGTACATAAATCAATTTATTAGTGTACCTGGAGCACACAGTCGTGTACAGAAATCATTAATACATACAGCATATCCATAGTGTTCTTACTTAAAAACCAAATTTACGCAATTTCATGAATATATGTACGCTTAATGCATGATTTGTGTACGTTGGACTCAATAGTTTATATTTATCGTGCCTGGATCTTGCCTAGATGCCTACTGAGTATTTCTGATGTTTACACGGCAAGTAAGACTCCATATTGCAATCCACATGTATCGAAACAAATGCCCAGGGAAGGCGCGAGTAGCTGTTTCTGGCTGCTGCTGACACACACGGAGAAGCTTCTGTACCCTTTCATGCCAAACAAACCCCACCCCGCAGCAACTGGCAGGTTTGACGGTCACTAGAATGCGGTGACCAATCGGGTCGCATTCTGGTGAGGGAAATAGCGGCGGCTCGGGGAAAAATAGGGTCGTCGTGACGTCGTCGTCGTCAGTCGTCACCCCTCAGAGTGAATCGCCGCCAGGTGAAACGATGAGACAAGAAAACCCCTCCCCTGCGCCGCCTGAGATGTGGCGCGACGCGAATCCCTGGTCCGTTTCCTGCCTTGCATTTATATTCGTCGTTACTTCCTGTCAGTTCTCCAACATTCACGAAAGTTACCATATGTTACAATCAACCACATCAGCTCACTGCGATGGGCCGTCTAATCGGTCGTCTAATCCCCGATCGACATCTCATCACATTCATATTTATACGCCACGTGGAACGCCCGATGGTCATCTCAGCCCTCAACCCGCACGGTGCGTTCACGTCGTGTGTGTTTACAGATCATGATACGCGTTTCAGAACGTTTTGAAACGATTTGAAGCGGTATGTGCAATTCCTGCGTATTCATCCGATATAAAACGCATAAACCCGTGCAGGATATGTACGAGCTGGATGTTCCCTGAGCGCAGTCTTCCCAGAGAAGCCAAGCGAGCCCCTTTGCTCCAGTTCTTGCAGCTAGCTCACCTCTCGTCGTTCTTGTGTCACTCGGAAAATTGCCTCTCCCTCCCACCCATTTCCGTCACATCCCACTTTCACTTACCGCTATCTTGCTCGTCATACCTCATTCTTGTTGAAACCGTTCCAACCTAGTTCCCTGGCCGGTGCCCTGCGCCTTAGAGATCGCCGCCTAGACCAGTCCCAGTCACCATCATCAGTTGCGTCACTCACAGTAAAGCGCTTTCTGCTTACATAATTTCGATCTCCCGCCTGTTCCGACGTTCTCCGATTCCTGGCGTCCCTCCACCGCGGAGCTATTTGTCGCTCCGTCGACACTTTTTTCGTGTTCCCCATCGGTGCTGTCGTCCTCTTCTTTGACGACGTTCGCTTTGGACGTCACGTCTGCCCCCATCCGCGTACCAAGGCGAAAACGACCCTTAGTGCGCGCAAGGGTCAAGAAAAGTCGCTCAGATCTTTACTGGGCATCGCGGCATCTGCGTCGCGTCGCCTGTGCGTCACGTCGAGACTCTAAGAGCTGTTTTTGGTACTCGCGTTTCAAGTGCTGTCACCGCTTCGGCGAACAAGCGATCCACGACCGTCGCAATGGCTTCTTCACTTCTTTCGATTCTTGATTTCGCCGCCACCTCCAAAGTCATATCCCCCACTGGTACCGACGCCCCGTCAACCACTACCAAGGCCACGTCAACCCCAACCGACGCCATGTCAGCCGCAACCGACGCCACGTCAGACACTGCTGCCGCCACATCGGAGGCCTGGGAGGAGGCCATGCGCGCGCAGCTCGCCACGTGGTTCGAAGACCCGGATTTCGTCGACGAGGTTCCGTCAATGACGGTTACCGTCGGCGATAACGCGCTCTGTCAACTCGACGGCGTCGCGACGGTCGCGCTTCCTCCCGACTCGGTCTTCTCGATCGTGTGCGATCCGCACAACCGGCGCGTGTTCAAGAACATAAAATCGGTCAAGAACGAGCGCGTCGTGTGTGACTGTAACGGGGTGAAGGAGCTCGAGATGGACATGATCTTCGCGTTCCAGCTGCCCTTCTTTACAGGCACATTCGACGCGGAGGTGCGTATGGTGCACGATCGCCCGAACCGCAGGATGACTTTCGCGCTCAAACAGCCCGGATTCATGCGCAAATTCGAGGGATACTGGCAGGTCGAGCCGCTCATCGTCCCCGCGTCTTCCGCGACTGCCCCCTTCCCCACCTCTCTAGCCTCCATCTCCTCCTCCTCCGCCCCCTGCTCCCCTAGTTTCACTTCCGCGCCGCAATCGCCGATCTCCGATTCTTTCCCGTCGGGTCGCCCGGAAGACGACGAGACCGACTGGCCTGGTAGCGCTAGCAGCAGCCCGGACCGCCTGCCGAGCTCCGCGGACCCCGGCGCGGGCGGCGCGGGGGACGCCGCCGCGATCGGCGCGGGCGTGCGCGTGGCGTCGCGGCTGACGCTGCATCAGGTGGTGCAGCCGTCGCTCGCGCCGCCGGCGATCTTCAAGCGATGCATCCACACGATTCTCCAGATGGCCACGCGGACGGTTCTGGTGGTTTTCCAGCACGAAGCTGCGCGGATCCGCAGCAGCAAGGGGCAGGCGGAGGCGGAAGCGGAGGCGGAGAAGGGCGGAAGGTGGGGCGCACTGTTTTTGCACAAGGAGTCGTTTGGGGCTAAGAAGCACAGCGCGGGGTTGGGGAAGGTGGGCCTGGGGAAGGTGGGGTTGGGAAAGGTGGGTCACGGTTTGAAGGGAGCAGTGCATCGGAAGTAAAGAGAGGATGTTGATTTAGGAAAGCAATACCTATGAGCGGATACTGCCTACAGCTCAGCGCACTCCAGTGGAAGCAGCATACGACGGTAACCGAGAATGATTTGCGGTTTACATTCTTCATTCGAACTACGTTGGTGGGTGGTTTGATGGAACGGCAGCTTGGGCAGATTAAAGAGGGAAAGGATGGGATGGGATGGGATGGGTTGGGATGGGATGGGATGGGATGGGATGGGATGGGATGGGATGGGATGTGGTGGCAGCAGGTGACGCATCAGAGCAGTTTTACAGTGCGGCCCTTAGGCATGGTGCTGACACCACCAGTAGCAAGAGTAGCAGGTTTGCAGATGTGGAGCTTGGGAGTAGGTATGTGGGGAACACCTGGTTTTGTCAGCGACATGCTTTAGAGTCTAAATTGTTTTATTGTGGAAGGCTTTTGGGGTTCTAGAGATTCTAGAGGTGTCTGGATGTTGGAGAATGACTGAGCATGACCTGCTACAATACCGTATTTGCATGTTTTGTTCTTTAAGACATTGTTCTCCGGTATGGTGACATTGTTCTCGTACAATATATAAGTAGATCTAAGTTGCTATAAACCTTACCCATACGCGAAGAACTGTCAATGAGCTGTGCAGTGTGCACCAATAAGGACACCTGAGATTTTTGGAAGATTGTCACAGTTTGAACACTAACCTCTTTGCACCGTGGCGACAAGTCCCTCAACTGTATCCTACCGGGTAAAACCTCTCCAAAGTAGACCCCAACCACATGCTGTATCATGAGTAATGTTTCAAGATTTATCATGTGACACAAACATGACATGACACTCCATTGACCAGGCAAAAGGGGCGGATTGGGCTTAGCTTCATTCGAGCACTGAGAGATTCGAACTCTCGCGGGCAGAGCCCATGTACTTAGCAGGCACACGCCTTAACCACTCGGCCAAATGCTCAGATTTTTTTTTGTTTTATATATATTTTTTCTTCTATGCATTCAAATTGAATCGAGTAGGACTGCTCTGTTCTATTCCAAATCAGGAAACCCACTCATATGTGACTTTTTAACCCCTCACCGAGTCAAAATTGCATGCCTGTTACAGCCACACAGTAGGACTTGTTACAAAACCACATGGCATGATTGCTGGATGATGTTTGCTGGTTACCACAGTGGCTGCAAAGTGCTCCGGTTTAACAATCTCACCGCACAACACCGCACTGCACCAGTTGCAGCTCCGTATTGCAGCATATGAATGGAAGATTCCGCTCCCACCACTCCGCACAGAAAACCCTTTATCTGAACCTTCACCTGATACGTACTGCTTCAGCTGACAAAGTATAACCTTCCAGGTCAATACATTCAGACTGTCTTGAGACGCCCAGAAAAGAGACCCGTGAAATGATCTCAGGTTGTGTAGCCTGCTTCAGCTAGCTGGCCATGCGAAGCTGCTTGGAAGGAGGGGTTTCATGGTGAGGAATGGGGGTGACAAGGGGGCGTGGGAGAAGCGAAGGGAAGATGACAGGTGAGAGAGAGTAACAGAGAGGGGAGTGAGGTAAGTCAAGACTGTCATGTGCACATGAGGGTAAGTCAAGACTGTCATGTGCATATGAGGGTAAGTCAAGACAGTCGTGCATTTGAGGGTAAGTCAAGACTGTCATGTGCATATGAGGGTAAGTCAAGACTGTCATGTGCATATGAGGGTAAGTCAAGACTGCCATGTGCATTTGAGGGTAAGTCGAGACTGTCATGTGCATATGAGGGTAAGTCAAGACTGCCATGTGCATTTGAGGGTAAGTCAAGACTGTCATGTGCATATGAGGGTAAGTCAAGACTGTCATGTGCATATGAGGGTAAGTCAAGACTGCCATGTGCATTTAAGGGTAAGTCAAGACTGTCATGTGCATATGAGGGTAAGTCAAGACTGCCATGTGCATTTGAGGGTAAGTCGAGACTGTCATGTGCATATGAGGGTAAGTCAAGACTGCCATGTGCATTTGAGGGTAAGTCAAGACTGTCATGTGCATATGAGGGTAAGTCAAGACTGTCATGTGCATATGAGGGTAAGTCAAGACTGCCATGTGCATTTAAGGGTAAGTCAAGACTGTCATGTGCATTTGAGGGTAAGTCAAGACTGTCATGTGCATTTGAGGGTAAGTCTAGACTGCCATGTGCATTTGAGGGTAAGTCAAGATTCCCACCCTGGATGGTTTCTTTGCCTTGCTTCTGTCCCGAGCTGCTCCCTCTGCACCATCCCCTGCTCCTGCTGCTCCTCCTCCTCCTCCTCCCACTCCTCCCGCTCCTCCCGCTCCCCCTGCTCCTCCTGCCCCTCCTCTCCCTTCTCCTCTCCCTTCTCCTCGTCCTTCTCTCACAAGAGTCCCATCTGCTCTTCCCCCAACCGCCCCTCCCCCCACACCACTCGCTCCAGCCAGTGTCACCCCTGCATCTGCACTCACAGGCCCTCTTCCATTACCCTCTGTACCCGCTTCCCCCCTCGCCCTCCCCCTGCCTCCTCCCCCCTTCCCGCCTCTCTCCGCCCCCCCTCCTCCCCCTCTCCCACCGGCCCCCTTCCCCCTCCCGCGCCCCTTCCCGCTCCCTTTCCTCCTCCCTTGCTCCTCCGCCTCTGCTGCCGCTGCCGCTGCTTCTGCTGCTGCAGCGACGGCAGCAGCAGCGGCAAGAGCAGCAAAGGAATTCGCAGCAGCAGCAGCAGCGGGGGGGAGGACGGAGTAGGGTTCCCCTTCAGGGGGTACAACCCACTGGGGGAGAAGAGGGGCGAGGGGAGGAGCAGGGAGACGGGCAATGGCGCTGCTGTTGCTGCCTATGTGCCCTTCTGGTCTTGATAAGCCTGCTACAGATGTAGCACTGCTACCACTACCACCAGCAGCATCCCCACCCCCACCACCCCTGCCACCAACCCCACCACCACTTTTGCCACTGCTACCAACAGCAGCGGGGAGAAGAAAGGCTGCTGCTGCTGCAGCTGGGTCGAGGGTCGAGGCAAGCACGGGGCGGTCAGGCGTGAGAGAAGAGAAGATGGACGATGGATGAGGGGCGGCGGAGGAGGAGGAGGAGGTGGGGAGTAGAGTGGGGAGGTTGGAAGTGCGAGAGCGAGAGGACTGGGTTCTAATTCCGTGACGAGAGGAGGGGCGAGAGGAGGAGGAGGAGGAGGGGAGGGAAGGGTGGGAAGGAAGGCGGGACTTGGGAGGAAGGTCTTTGAGAATGAAAAGGACCATGGCCGATGGGACGGTCTCGCCTGGGAGGGGACGGAAGAGGAAGGGATAGTGCGATATGAGATGCAAGTCAAGAGGGGAGGGGAGGCGGGACTTGGGAGGAAGGTCCTTGAGAATGAAAAGCACCATGGCCGATGGGACGGTCTCGCCTGGGAGGGGAGGGAAGAGGATATTGTGATGTGTGAAAAACAGGTACAGAGGGGAAGAAGTGGGGAGAGGATGGTGTGACGTGAAAGTACTTGAGAAAATGAAGAGCACCATGGCTGAGGGCACTGTCTCGCCTGTGAGGGAAAGGGAGAGAGGGGATAGTGTGGTGTGGAGGCAGAGAAAAGCAGGGAGGGCATGGTGTGGCGGAAGTTGGTTGAGAATGAAGAGCACCATGGCTGAGGGGACTGTCTCGCGTGGGTGGGAAGGGGAGAGGGGGGATAGAGTGATGTGAGTGGCACGGGCAAGAGGGGAGTTGAGGCGGGACTTGGGAGGAAGGTCGTTGAGAATAAAGAGCACCATGGCTGAGGGGACTTGTCTCGCGTGGGAGGGGAGAGGGTGGGGGAGGAATAGATGGTTTGATGGCCATGTGTACGAGGGGAGGGCATGGTGTGACGGGAAGGTAGAAGAGGGGAGGGGATGCATCGCACCGCACCGCAAAGCACAGCACTGCGTTACACCACACAACCAGACGAGCATCAATGTGGCCAAGGGAGCCCTAACATTCCCCTCTGACATTAATTTTATCCATCGATCCGAGAACCAATGGCCAGCGAGTGACAGTGCCCCTACGACAGTGGCAGTGGCTTTTGGGGCATCGTCAGCAGCGGCAGCGACGCTAATATGGCAGTAGCAGTGGCAATGGCACGGGGTAACTCCTGCTGGCACTGCTGACGACGCACCCATGTAGGGATAACGTACCTACGCAGTGGCACTGCTGGCACTGCTGGTAACGCACCTATGCGGTGGTAGATGAGGAACCAGAAGGGCAGCAGGCTGCCGTGCTTGTCCCGGAAGGAGAGGGCATGCATTGTACCGCAACGCACCTCACCGCACAGCATTGCACCTGGTACCTACCACTGGCACAGCTTATGACGCACCTATGCAGTGGTAGACGAGAAACCAGAAGGGCAGCAGGCTGCCGTGCTTGTCCCGAAAGGAGAAATTCATGATGGGCTGTGGTGTTCACAAGGGAAGGGACATGAGGGGTGGGTGAAGGCAAACGGGGTCGGGGCTACCTGAGAGGGGCTGGAGAGAAAATGCTAACGGGCCGTGGAGAGACAATGGGCGGGGCAGACTTGGGTGTGACTGAAGTGAGTACACAATCGCATTACGCATGCAGTGGATCAAGGGATGTTACAGCGAGTGAGCGGACTAACCGGGACGTATTTGACGAGGGCGATGAATGCGCAGAAGGCGGAGCTTTTGCGTCGTCGACTTCAAAGCAAATGTTGGGGTTACCATGAGTACTGGGCTGACCGGGAACTGACCGGGATGTATTTCGCGAGGACGATGAATGCACGGAGGGAGAAGCAGAGCAGACACAGAGCAGACGCAGAGCAGACACAGAGCAGATACAGAGCAGACGCAGAGCAGACACAGAGCAGACACAGAGCAGACGCAGAGCAGACACAGAGCAGACACAGAGCAGACGCAGAGCAGACACAGAGCAGACACAGAGCAGACGCAGAGCAGACACAGAGCAGACACAGAGCAGACGCAGAGCAGACACAGTGCAAAGGGAGTTATCGTCAGTAAGGGGAGGGGACTGACCGGGATGTATTTGGCGAGGACGATGAATGCACGGAGGGAGAAGCAGAGCAGACACATGCCGGCGAGCCATGCGATCTGATGGAGAAGGGAGAAACGGGAGGTATGAGTGAAGGGCAGAGGGATCACAGAGGCTGCGGGAGTCAGGCAGGCACGCAGAGGATGACTTTTGAGTCGACTCAAAAGTCACCTTGAAACGGGAGGTGTGACGGGCAGAGGGATCACAAAGGCAGCGGGAGTCAGGCACGCAGAGGATGCAGGGAAGAAGGACGTAGGAGATAGACAAACAGTGCATCAGAAAGTCTTTTGAGTCGACTCAAAAGCCAACCAAGCGATCTGATGGAGAAGGGAGAAACGGGAGGTGTGACGGGCAGAGGGATCACAAAGACAGCGACAGTCAGTCACGCAGAGGATGCAGCAGGGAAGAAAGACATAGGAGATAGACAAACAGAATCTGCATCAGATGGGAGGTGAGAGGTGTTTAGAGAGGTGCTGGGTGGGTGGTGCTGAGTGGTGTTGAGCAGCCTTTGCCTTACATCATGCGACAATCACCGGCATTTTCCTGAAATCTGCTGCAGAAACATTGCTGAGGTCAGCAGCACGGCCAGCACCTACCTTGCTGAGGTCAGCGGCGCTGGGCCCTGCCCGAAGCACAGACATCTTTGAGAAGAGCAGCAGCCCGTACAAGGCCAGGCCTCCTCCTAATAGGTGCTGAGTGGTTCTGAGTGGTGCTGAGCGGTCTTGCCTTATAGCATGTGACACGCACCTTGCTAAGATCAGCGGCGCTAGGTCCGGCCCGAAGCACGGACATCTTAGAGAAGAGCAGCAGCCCGTACAAGGCCAGGCCTCCACCTGATACGCACTGAGTGGCGCTGCATCTGGGCAGCCTTGCCTCACATGATGCGCCTCTCACCTCGCTAAAATCACCACCTACCTTGCTGAGGTCAGCAGCGCTGGGGCCGGCTCGGAGCACAGACATCTTTGAGAAGAGCAGCAGCCCGTAGAAAGCGAGGCCGCCTCCTGATAAGAGAGTGGCGACTGCAAAGAAGTCTGCATGCATCTGATGGGGGTGGGGGTGGGAGGGGGATCCAGGAGGGAATGAAAGGAATTGAGTGGGATGGGATGTGAGGGATTGTAAGGAGGAGAGAAGAGCAGCAGTCTGTAGAAGGCCAATCCTCCTCCTGATAGCAGCGTGGCGACTGCAAAGAAGTCCGCATGCATCTGGTGGGGTTGGCGGTGGGAGGGAATGAAAGGAATTGAGTGGGATGGGATGTGAGGGATTGTAAGGAGGAGAGAAGAGCAGCAGTCTGTAGAAGGCCAGTCCTCCTCCTGATAGCAGTGTGGCGACTGCAAAGAAGTCTGCATGCATCTGGTGGGGGTGGCGGTGGGAGGGAATGAAAGGAATTGAGTGGGATGGGATGTGAGGGATTGTAAGGAGGAGAGAAGAGCAGCAGTCTGTAGAAGGCCAGTCCTCCTCCTGATAGCAGCGTGGCGACTGCAAAGAAGTCCGCATGCATCTGGTGGGGGTGGCGGTGGGAGGGAATGAAAGGAATTGAGTGGGATGGGATGTGAGGGATTGTAAGGAGGAGAGAAGAGCAGCAGTCTGTAGAAGGCCAGTCCTCCTCCTGATAGCAGCGTGGCGACTGCAAAGAAGTCCGCATGCATCTGGTGGGGGTGGCGGTGGGAGGGAATGAAAGGAATTGAGTGGGATGGGATGTGAGGGATTTTAAGGAGGAGAGAAGAGCAGCAGCCCGTAGAAGCCCGCCGCCCGATAGGAGTGTGGCGACTGCAAAGAAGTCTGCATGCATCTGATGGCGTTGGTGGTGGGCAGGGAGAATCGGAAAAACATTCGGAGGGAGAAAGATAGCAGAGGAGACGAGGAGGCAGGGGCAAGGAGGCAGGCAGGCAAGCAGGGAAGCAGGCAAGCAGGCGAGGAGGCAAGCAGGCAGGCAGGCAAGCATGCAGGCAGGGAGGCAGGGGGACAAGAAGACAGGAACCATGGGAGGAAAGGGGCAGTGGTGCTGACCTGCGCCATGAGCGTGGCGTCGATGGGATTGTCTCCATAGCCGTACCAGATGAGGAATGGAGGGAGGTAAGCAGGCAAGGAAGCAAGGAGGCAAGGAAGCAGGGAGGCAAGGAAGCAGGGAGGCAAGGAAGCAGGGAGGCAAGGAAGCAGGGAGGCAAGGGGCAGTGGTGGTTCTTACCTGAGCCATGAGCGTGGGGTCAATGGGGTTGTCTCCGAGGCCGTACCAGATGAGGCAGGCAGGGAGGTAAGGACGCAAGGGGCCACGCATGCAAGCAGGGAGGCAAGGAGGCAAGCGAGCAGGCAGGCCGGGAGGCAATGCTTCTTACCTGCGCCATAAGAGTGGGGTCGATGGGGTTGTCTCCAAAGCCGTACCAGATGAGGCAGGCAGGGAGGTAAGGGCGCAAGCAAGGGGGCATGGAGGCAGGCAAGCAAGGAGGCAAGAAGGTAGGGAAGTGCTTCTCACCTGAGCCATGAGAGTGGGGTCGATGGGGTTGTCTCCAAAGCCGTACCAGATGAGGAATGCAAACACGGCTGTGAGCAGTGAGATGAAGCTCACCACCTGGTGGTCGGGGGTGGGGTGCGGTGGGGGGGGCAAGGGAATTTTAGCCAACTCAAAAGCTACCATACCAGGTGAGTAAGGCAAACACTGCTGTGAGCAGTGAGATGAAGCTCACCATCTATATATATATATATGTATATGATATATATAAAATATATAGATAAATGAATATATTTATACACACATATATAAAGACAAGCTTAGCGTGAGCTCACAGCGAGCATGATTCATTGCCTGCCCTTCACTCTGAGCTTCTGCCAGCGGAACCGGGGGGTCCTTGCCCCATCACTCGCCGCACTGTTGCCAAACCCCCCCTCTTCCCCCCCCCAAGTCTCACATACAAAAACACAAACAATCAAGCCCAGCTCCAGCTTACCGCGAGCACAATTCGCTGCCTGCCCTTCACTCGCAGCTTCTGCCAGCGGAACCGAGGGGTCCTCGCCCCATCGCTCGCCGCACTGCTCCCTGACCCCCCCTCTCCCCACTCCAAATCCCACATACAAAAACACAAACAACCAAACAATCAAGCCCAGCTCCAACTTACAGCGAGCACGATGCGCTGCCTGCCCTTCACTCTCAGCTTCTGCCAGCGGAACCGAGGGGTCCTCGCCCCATCACTCGCTGCACTGCTGCCAACCCCTCCTCTCCCCCCACCTCCCATTCCTCCCAATCCTCCTCCCCCTCCTCCTCCACCCCCTGCGCCCTGCCTCGCCACGCCACCCATCACCCCTGCAGCAGCATCTAGCAGTGGTTGCTGCAGGGATGCGCCATGGTTATGAGTGGCGTGGGGAGGCAGGGCCGCGCCGTGCCCCTCCCCACCCTTCCCCACCGCTATTCCCCGCCCACTTTGTCCCTGGGTATGCCTAGCTGCGGTAGCAAGGGAGTGGGCGGAGAGGGAGGAGGGGGGGGTGCCGCTGATGCTGCTGCCTTCGGATTGGTCCGGGGAGAGGGAGCGAGAGGAGGCGAGGGGAGAGGTGAGCGTGGAGTTGACGTGAGAAGCAGCAGCGCTGCTGGCAGCAGTAGTGGAGGCGGAGACTGAATCGCCAGGCGCTCTGTTTGCGGCTTTTGCAGCTGCAAGGCCGCTTGCAGCATGTGCGGGTGGGGCGCTGCTCGCAACACTCTGCTGCTGCTGCTGCTGCTGCTGCCGCCGATCCTGCTGCGAGTAAGTCGAGCTGCTGTGCTGCCCTGCTGCGGGCGGCATGGGTGGGATGGGGCTTGACTTATGCCTCACCAGGCCAGTCCTACCCGTGCCCACTCCCACTCCCATGCCCATACCATTAAACGCATAAGCACCATTGCCTACACCCAGACCTCCCCTGCCCGCAGCAGCTGCAGCAGCTCTCTACCGCTCCTGCTGCTGCTGCTGCTGCTGCTTCCAAGTCACTCTCCTCGTCTTCATCCTCCTCCTCTTCGTCTTCGTCTGTGCTGTCAGATGCCTGGTGGCACAGGTCGATCCTGGTGGTGATGGCGGTGGGAGCATGCAGCAAGCGAAGTGGTGGTGGTGGTGGTGGTGGTGGTGGTGGTGGTTTGAGCATGCAAACCGTGGGATAAGAGGCGAATTCAGAGGTGCCTCAAAACTTCTCCTCACCCTCCTCTTGTCGTCGTCCTCCTCCTCCTCCTCGTCTGTGCTGTCAGATGCCTGGTGGCACAGGTCGATCCTGGTGGTGGCGGTGGTGGGAGCATGAAAAGCAGCAAAGGAGAGACGATTTTTTGGGTTACTTACAGCACGCCATCATCCTCCTCCTCGTCCTCATCTGTGCTGTCTGATGCCTGGTGGCACAGGCCGATCCTAGTAATGGTGGGAGCATGCAGCAAGAGAACATGTTTAGCCATACATTGCTTAGACTGCCATGACGCATCATGATGAATGCATGCCAAATAAACGTATACAACATCGTGCCCTGCCCCATAGTGCCCTGCCCCACCCATCGTGCCATGCCCCATTGCGCCATGCCCACCCCACTATGCCATGCTGTGCAAGTCGAACCAGAAGGAGAGCAGCAGCAGGAAGGTTGCGAGGATAATGAATTGGGGGATGGCTTCTATGCAAGGACACACAGGCATGCCATACCATACCACACCAAATCGTGCCCACCACATGTACCCTATCTCATTATGCCACGCCACATGTAACCTCCCACATCGTGCCACGGCATATCTTACCAGAAGGAAAGAAGCAGCAGGAAGGTTGCAAGGAAGATGATCTGCGGTATGGCTGCAAGGCAATGCAAGGAGCACAGGGAGCACACAGGCAACAATGCAGCACAGAGGCAAGCACGGAGTGTCGCACATTGAAATACTTTGGGGCACATTAGTAACATTCCAACGCAGGGGGGAACAAACAGATGGGTTTCATACACACGCTCATACAAACATGGGGAGCACATACATGGGGAGCACACACATGGAGAGCACACACACATAAAGCACTCGCAACTTGGGCCTCATTGCTGAGCCGAGCGCTGCAATTCCAAGGAGGAGGAGGAGGAGCTTTGCAGCGTGAAATACAAGAGCAGGGACGCACCCAGAGAGATGATGCTGCAGGCGTGGGACCAGCAGAGCCACTGGGAGAAGGAGGCATGCGCATGGGGAGCATTCGCATGGGGCACATACGCATGGCAGGGCGGCGCGAAAGAGGACAGCAGGGGCAGCCGCAAGAGGACAGCAGGGGCAGCCGCAAGAGGACAGCAGGGAGGGACGCACCGAGAGCAACGAAGCTACAGGCGTGGGACCAGCAGAGCCATTGGGAGCAGGAGGCGAAGGGGTTGACGAGGAAATAGATGCAGTAGCCTGTGCAAGGGAGGAGGAGGTGGTGGATGGGTCAAGTTCAGAGAAGTGAAAGTCCATCAGAATCCATCAGAATCCATCAAGGAAGAGAGGAGAGTTACTGATGGTAGGTAGAGGCAGCGCAGGCAATGGAATTTGATAAATTCTGATGGTGAGCGAGCTTTGCGGGCAGTAACAACCATGCTGGTGACCATGCGCAGAAGGGACGACCTACAGGGCACATGTGATGTGTGTGTGTGTGCCCTGCCAGTCGTCCCGTCCATTGTGCGCAGAAGACCTGCGTGAAGCAGGCTTGTAAATCGACTCCATACTCACCGAGGTTTGCTGCAAAGACCATGGTATGGAAAACCTGTGGGAGGGTGACACGGCAATGACAAGGCGATTTGCACAAGGCATATGAGAGGCAGTGGAGGTGATGCCACGGTGAGGGCATGGGATGGGATGGGATGGGATGGGATGTGATGGGATGGGATGGGATGGGATGGGATGGGATGGGATGGGATGGGATGGGATGGGATGGGATGGGATGGGATGGGATGGGATGGGATGGGATGGGATGGAATGGGATGGAATGGAATTGATGCGCCACACAGCCATGACACCAAACTGTGGATGTGAGAGGAAGAGGAGGAGGTGGCGAGACGAGTGAGTGAAGGCACATGGGATGGGATAGATGCACCACACACACACGTGCTGAAACTGCTGTTGCGAGCAAAATGCGAGGAAGGAGTGAGCTCCCTGCACTTTTGGTGGTGCGCATGGGATGGCATGTTCGTGGGTGGGATCCACGAGATGGGGGATTCATGGGATGGGGGATTTATGAGATGAGGGAGGCATGGGATGGGGAAGGCGTGGGATGGGGGAAGCATGGGATGGGAGATGCATGGCATGGTAAAGGCATGGGGTGGGGGATTCATGCGATGGCAAAGAGATGCTCCCAAGACCCCCGAACCAGTACCTACCTTTTGACGGGTCCACTTGCCATTCTGCACATGGCGGCAGATGCGAATGAGCTGCGGCGAGCACGGGAGGGTTCGGGAAAGCCAGGCAGGAGGAGGGTATGAGAGCGTGAATCATATGCACTGAGTGTCTCCATGATATATCTGATAAACCATCAGGGGTGCTGAAGGGTGGATGCGCAATGCATAGTACAATGCATGCCTTACTGCACGTCTCACTGCACTCTGCATGTTTCACTGCATGATCCATCCTGTTCCTCACTCGTACAGACCTCTTTCCTTCCCTGATTAGTGTATCATTGGCATGTTTCACCTAAACACTTCTCACATCCCTATTCCATGCATGCAGCATTCACCACCTGCCTCATTGCAAACCTCATCTGCACAACGCATCACTGAATGATCCAGCCAGCCTGAACAGTGCATCAGTGGACGGTCCAGATGCCGCATATCTCACCTGAACAGTGCATCACTGAGTTGTCCAGATGTCGCATATTTCACCTGAACAGAGCTTCTATCAGTGCTTCAGACCAGATGACACACATCCTCCTGAACATAGCATCATTGAACGGTTCAGATGGCGCATGACTCACCTGAACCAGCGCAATGATCCAGATAACGCCGTCGATTCCCGCCATCACCCAGTTGGCCACCTTTAACGAGTCTGATATGCACTTTCTCTTTCGCCCTATATCGGGTATACAATGCGACCCAGCCACCGCTATAGCGGGGATACACCCCTCAATGAAGCGCCGCATTCCCGAACTTAACGAAGCCAGCCATCGCAGAGACTGCTTCCAGATAACACCTTCCCCTGCCAGCCCTCCCCCACCTTCCCCTGCCAGTCCTCCCGCATTCAAAGCTCTTCCTACCACACCCCCTACTCCTCCTGCTGCTCCGCCAGCTTGCCAGCCCCGATGAAAACCGATCGCTGGCTCGTGGCCGTTGATCAGCGCAGGATGGCCGTCGATCAGTGCTGGCCGACCGTCGATGAGCCCTTGTCGACCGTCGATCATGGGAACAGCACCTCCGTCTGCGATTCGGCGAAGGGCTTCTGTGGCTACGGAGTTCATGGCGCTAGGGTCGGTTTATGTCTCTAGGTTCGGCTTATGCCTCTAGGCTCGGTTCAATCCGCGAGGCTCGGACTAAGGCGCCAGGGTCGCTTCACGCCGCATGTTCGGTTCATGGCGCTAGGCTCGGTTCATGCAACAACACCAACGCGACTCCCTCACGCGCTAGGCTCGAGAGGTCATCTTTCGAGGGTCGACTCTGAAAGCCGTGCCAGAGAGTAAAGAAACGGATGGTATCAACATAGACGTGGTCAGAGAAACAGCTGCTACTACGCGCATGAAGGAATAGGCAACTACTGGCTACCCGCGTCCGCCTGAGCCTGTGGCTGTTGCAACGACCACCTTGCACCTAGCCTCGGATTCGTCAGCGAAAGTGGACTTCTGCGGATACACGCGAGACGGATGCGCGTAGTGACTACAGGAGGACAGCATATTCCACTTCGCGGAAATAATCCGTTTCTAAAACGTCTCGACGCCTCGTAGAGCAAGCGACTACTCTAGAAGCTCAGACCAGTGTCCTAAATGGATTTTCTAGAAAATGGATGCAATTGTTCGTCAAGAGCCAATGACTCCCTGCGAACTGGAATCTCTGGGAAACGATGTTGCAGCGACTAAGATTCTGTCGGACAGCTTCGCTTTGTAATCGCAGAGAGGTGTTCGCGAACACTCCCTTCGTCATGCACGCATAAATTATGAAAATCATGCGCTAGGCGGCGATCCCTAGGTTACTGCGACGGCGGCTGCTGGGTTCGTCAAGGAGCCGTGCGAAACGGATGGGACATACACCAGCACACGCCGACCTCGCCGCTGCAAGCATCCTTGCCTCGAATGCAGCGAGTACAAGCTTGCCATGTCAGACTACTGACCTCCACGTGCCCACAGGTTAGGAGATAAATGCCACGTCGACTTTGTGGTGGTGAGGTGATGCTTCGGTGGAATACGGTACAGAACCACTCTGTACTGGGGGCGGGTTCCAAAGGGTGACCCCTTGCTCAGCACAAGCAGTTGAGTTCGATATTGTACGGTCCGGAGTGGACTCTCGCTTCAGCACTCAGGAACAAATGAGGAGGGTGTTTCAACACAAATGCAAGTGCACCACAGTATTTAGTGTTGGCCTAAACCACTCCGCGGTTCTTGCCTCCTAGAATGGTCTATACGATTATTATACAATTACTGCAGAGCGGATCTGTGACGCGCGATGCGCTGCTGAGCGGCCCACTCAAACACGTTACTCGTAGGCTCAGACGAAGCAGCTCTAGATAGCTTCGCGCCACGAACCACAGCCGACATTGGGCGGGGTGTTGGCGGCGTTCCAACACGAACTGGATCCGCGACTCCATGCGAGGTTTGAAAGCGTCGCCCGTGCGGGGAGACAGCCGCGGAGGAGACTGACTCGCTGACGGTTCCACGCTGGGATGCGTCTGATAGCAGCGGCCACCGCGGCGCCGCATGTTGTGGTTTGAGAGAATTTAGGGTTACCAACGAAGAAACGCTCTGCCAGCGCGTCAGGCTTCTCCGGCTTGTAGCTGCTTCTAATCCCGCACCTCTCCCAGGATTGCTCCCTCGCGTCTCAGGCTCCCGTGGCTCCCGCATCTCCTGCGTCTCCTGCATCCCCGGATTAGGGTCCAATCTCCCTTCAACTTCAAGCTGCGCTGGTCGGGGATGACAGCGAGCATCAGTAGACGTTCCACCGGCGGAATATCCGTCGGCATGCGAGCTATTCGTGTTCTCGGGTGCGAGAGATAAAGCCGCCTCAGGCGTCGCGATGACTGGAGAGCTCCGCGAGCGCGAGGGGCGCGCGCCGTGAGGAGAGCCTCGCTGGTGCTTCGAAGCGGTCGTGGTACTGGCGGAGCTCCCAGTAGCGAGGTTCCACATTTCCAGGCGAAGGTCGATGTTCGAAAAACGACGACTAACCGCCACATCCTCCAAGGACGCATGGTTGACGGAGCCGCGAAGCACCTCGTCAGTCTGGCAAGGGAGCACCTCGAACTGCGCCGACATGGCCGCCGTTGCGTCGGTGTTGCGCCTCGGCGATTTGCAAGGAGCAGTTTCTTGCTTCAACGGAAAAATTAGAGGTGATGCGGCTGCTGCAGCAGCAGCGGAGGTGGGTGTTGGAAGCTCTCTCGGCAAGTGTAAGAGCAAGGATTCCATAAATTGTCACTGAGAACGTACGACCTAAATTAAGAAGTGTCGAGTGAGAGTATAGGTTATTATCAGCTAATCACACAATCTCCTAATCAAGTTTGATGTTGAAGGCACAAAGAAATGAGCATGTCTCCAAGGACATTTGAGACACCGCCTTTAAAATGTAGGCGGACGAGACTGGTGCAGGAACCTGGTCGGCAAACACGAGAGAGACTAAACGTGTGAATATCACCTCTGAGCAATTTTTGACATTTGGAGACTCTGGACTCTGGAGTCTGGACTAAAGGCCTGAGGCGCGTGCGACCGGCCGAGCAGGCTATTGGTTCTGAGGAGGTTGGCATGATACTGTACAGTATTGCAGTGCAGCCACTGGCGCTGCGGTCGGCAGACTATGACTGCACTATAGCTGCACGCGCTCTCGGGTCGATCGAGACGGGGAACCAGACTGTTTTCATCGAGGCTGGCAAGACAGCTGTCGGACGGAGGAAAGTGCTGTTAATATTTTGGCCTGACTTAGAATGGTCAACGCGACACGCCATTCGCCGCGTGCCTGTGCTGTGCTGGAGCCTAAAAAGTCAAGGCCTGAGAAATAGAAAGCTCTGGGTAATTTGTGTTTGGGGTGTGGTGATTGGCGGGTACCCATTTCCCTCCAACGGGAAGCTAGAAGCCTATGGCTTTTGCAGGGACAATAGTAATCCGCGCAAGGTGGCGGAAAAGCCCACCCTGAAAATGAACCTGAACGACGAAACAGACCGCGCCTATGGATAAAGCCATCATCAGGCATGGGGTGACTTCCACGCCAGCCGTTTTGGGCGGGTCATACTTTTTTGTTTCCGCGGGTTTCTTGACGAGCTTCAATACGGTCAATCACGTTTGGGTGCGGTTTTCGGCTTTCACCGCTTTAGTTAGCGAGCCAGGATGCGGCAAAACGAACTGGGAACAAAAAAGTTTGACCCGCCCTCTGGCACTCACAAAACACAAGTGGTTGTGCATCAATACGGTGCCGTAAGGTTCCGATAGGCTGGACAGGGTTGAGGGGATTGAGGCAACTTTGGTCATATTGTCGTGGAGGGGCTCATTTCTCAGGACATTGACTTTTTGAGTGTACTATGGATATTCAAACTTCACAACCTCGGTGACTAGAAATACGGGGGGTTACCCCTGCGCAATGCTCTCAGATTCAAATGAACCGTATTGCACCTCACACCTTATTAACCAGTGCTGACCTAAACCGCGAGCTCCACGGTTAATCGCACCTTGGACTACCACTATAATACAATCTACTGCAGAGCGGATTTGTGACGCGCGATGCGCTGCTGAGCGGCCCATTCGAACACGTTACTCGTGGGCTCAGACGAAGCAGCTCTAGATAGCTTCGCGCCGCGAACCACAGCTGACATTGGGCGGGGAGTCGGCGGCGTTCCAACGCGAACAGGATCTGTGATTCCATGCGAGGTTTGAAAGCGTCGCCCGTGCGAGGAGGCGGTCGCCGGGGAGACAGTCTCGACCGACTCGCTGACGGTCCTACTCTGGGATGCGTCCGATTGTACCGGCCACCGCGGCGACGCGTGTCGTGGCACGGAAGAAATTAGGGTTAGGGAAGGAACGCTCTGCCAGCGCGACAGGCTCCTTCCTGATCTCGGCGCTATTCTTTCAGGAACGCCCCCTCGCGTCTCCTGCGTCTCCAATGTCCGCCGTGCGGTTTGCGTTAGTGTGTGTGACTCAAAACCCGCTACTTCAAGCTGCGCCGGTCGGCCGTGACAGCTGCTCGGAGCAGCAACCGCCGCCGACGCAGCCGACGCAAGAGCATCGCCAGGCGTTTCAGCAGCGGCGGAAAATCCAACATGAGAAATATTCGCGTCATTTTCGGGTGCCACACGGGATGAAGCCGGCGCGTCCTCAGGCGTCGCGATAATCGGCGAGCTCCGCGAGCGCGACGGGCGCGCGCCGAAAGGAGAGCCTCGAAGGTGCTTAGCGGAGCTTCCAGTAGCGAGGTTCCACATTTCCAGGCGAAGGTCGATGTTTGAAAAACGACGACAGACCGCTGTATGATCCTCCGAGGGCGCGTGATTGGAAATGTCAGCGTCACGAACGGAATGATTCGAGTCCGACGACCCCACCTCCGAAGCGCGCGCGCCGCCGCGAAGCACCTCCTCCGTCTGGCAGGGGAGCACCTCGAACTGCGGCACCGACGTCATGCTGTTGCGCCGCCGCGATTTGCGGAGAGACGGCGCGGCGTCTTGCTCCATTGGGAGAGTCAGAGGCAATATAGCAGCAGCGGGAGCGGCGGAGGGAGAGGCTGTCGGAAGCTCCCTGGGCAAACGTACGAGCAACGATCCCATGAGTTGCAATTATAACCTCAATTCCAAGGAGTCACGCAAATGTCGATATCTACGAACGAGTCCATCACGCAACCGCCCTATCAGGCTTCTGTTTAAGAAGGCAGAAGAAAATGAGGAAGATAATTCGAATGTCTCCTAAGTCAACTGAGGGACCGCCTTTTACATTGATGGACGGAAGAAGCTGGCGTGCATACCCGAAGGTCAAACACGAGAAAGAGTATGCCGGTCCGCGTAACTTCGGCGGGAGTACTACTAGTAACAGCGCTGACCTTCGCTAGGTTTGAAAATTGGACCTTTGCACCCTTGGCTAAAGCCTGAGGGCGCGTGCGACTGGCGGAACAGGCCATTGGTTCTTCCGAGGCGGTTGGCTCCGTCCATGATGACGGATATTTGCCGTAGAGCCGCTGCTGCGACGGTCGGGTCGGCAGACGATGGCTGCCCTGAAGCCGAACGCGTTCGCGGGTCGAGGCTCGAGACGAGACGAGACGAGACGTGGAAGCGGACAGTTTCCATCAAGCCTGGCAAGCCAGCTGTCGAACGTGTGGAGGAGGGAAGGAATGAAAGAAAGTCGTCGGCGTGATCGAGAACGGACAAGTCAACATGCCATTTCCTGCGTGTGCGCCGCGTGATGTGCTGGAGCCTGTACTGTAAATGATGAATTGCTGGTGTTTGGGTTGCGGTGATTGGCGGAACAGTTTACATGTGATTGGCTTCTGTGGGGACGACTGCCTGCCTGTGCGAGGTGGTGAGGGGGAGCCGAACCCCGAAAAGGAAGGAACCTTGAGCAGCAAGGAGGAACACATCGCGCCTGTGGAAAAAAAGGGAAATTATACAAGCAGTCACACTTTTGGCCGTTTTATCACGTTTGGTCACAGGGGTATCACAAACAGTCACAGTACAGTAGATTGCTATCACGGGTGATCACAGTGCTATCACGGATGGTCATACCTCGCCCCGAAATGCTATCACGTTTGGTCACTCGTTGAAACGATCATAAATAATTTGAAACCACAAGGGAAACAATTGAACTTTTGGGGAATCCCAACATTGACTGCTAGTTACCTCGCGCTTTATTATAGCCTGACAATTAGGGAATTGATAGAAAAAAAAATAAACCCCTATAGGATGGCACGTCCTTCGGGAGGCATCAACCCTAAACACCTTGCGACAAGGTGTTTAGGGTTGGTGCTCCCGAATTATATCCCATCCGAACGGGTTTTAGTTTTTTTTTTGTCTTGGGACAGAAAATTAACCTTAGAGTTTCACCCGTCTAAAATTGATATCTTAGGGACATTAGGCATCGATCAAACACTGGACAATTGAATAGTAAAAGATATTGCAGATATTTTTAACGAGTTACCGAGAATTATCGCGAAAGTATTTCGCATTACTACGGACAAAACGGAAAACTTTCCTTGAATCCCCACAGTGACTTGAGTAGTTTCATATTTGTATTGACAATTTCAACGAGTGACCAAACGTGATACCTTTTCGCGGTGAGGTGTGACCATCCGTGATAGCACTGTGATCACCCGCGATAGGAATTTACTGTACTGTGACTGTTCGTGATACCCCTATGACCAGACGTGATAATCCGGGCAAAATTGTGACTGCTTGTATAATTTCCCGGAAAAAATCATCATGCGGCATAGGATGGGATGGGATGCCGTGCGCGCTAGCCCTTTGTGACTTGTTTGTGACTAGCTGGCAGAAGGATAAATTTTACGAAACAGAAGGATAAGCGGCCGCGCATCATTGCGGTACTGCTAGTTTTGGTTCGGTTGAGCCGGGTTGAGGAGATTTAGGCAGCTTTGATATGGTCGCTAGTTTCCGTCGAAATGTTGACTGGAAGGTGTCGGGGTTCGTCAGGAGTCGAATGTAAATGAGAACAAGTACCGAAGATAAAGCCTGTAAAGCTTGGTAGATATCAAAACGAACCATACTACATCTCTCTGTCACATCGCAGCTTGTCAAAATAGCTTCGCCATGTCATTTCCCCATAACCAACGCAGCGAGGAACCCCATAAAGGCGACAAATTGCCAGTTGGAGCCAGCGTGAAACCTACTGTTCATAACCACACGGTGTGCACAGTTCAAGAATGTCAGTCGCCGCCACTGGCTGTCAGACAGCGCGCGTCAGCAGATGGAAGTGGACAAGCAGCGCCGTGGACGAGAGGAATCCTTGACCAAATACCCGAGGCACCACATTCCCGCGCTCGAACAAGAACGGGAGGACCTGTACTCGTTTGAACAAACATTTGATTTCTTTGTGAATGTAGACCACTCCCACTAAATTGCGTCTCAAATATGAAGCTTATCCAACATTTCCTATTAACATGGCACTCTCCCGTCCACAAATATGTTGGATGGTATCAACGCAGGTATACACGTCTAGAACAATCTACCGTGTTTGTTATCATGTGTTAGTTTAACAATCGGTTGCCAAGGTTGGTAGGGGGTCATTTGGGAGCAGTTGGTCGTCTTCTGCCTGGTGGTGGCCTGAGCGGGACACTCATCACATCCATGGCTGCTGGCACTGAGCCAGAGCGACAAGGTCGATGATATCCGAGCCTCCCTGTGTTGCTCCCTCCCACAACCGAGCCTCCATCTGTGGTTCCACATCTTTGCTTGGAGGCAAGGGCGGTTGTTGACCCTTGGTGTTGCCGAACAGGAATGTCTCTCTGCCATGGCGTTCCGTTGTGGTTTCCCAGGGGCACCACGGTTCCAGTCCTCTGCTTCGCCGAGTAGGTTTCGTTACTGTCACCATCTATTAGCTGTCGCATGTCAACCGCACTTCCGTAGCGCTGAATCGTCCCGCCGTCTTTCCAGCGCACCTGACATAGCAAACCGGCAGCCTTAGTACTTGCACCTGTCAATCTCGGAAGTTCCATACTAGGTAAATCAAGACAGGAAAGACGAGAAGAGGAGGAATTTTGATAAGGTAGGTCAGCGAGATTACCTGATTCGCGGATTGGTGGCCGGCTAGTCGAAGCATCTCCTGCATCCACTCCTCGTCCATTTCTCCCTCGCCGTCGCCCTCGATGTGAAGCCGTCCCTCCTTTTCTGGCTGACATGCCATCACGCGTAGCGTTCGACCATCAGCTGTCCCTGATCTGCGGTTATCGCGAAACAATCCTTGATTAATCACATCGTAATAAACCAAATCGAATTACGGCCTTGCGATCCCTTCGCCTTAAGATCGCTGAGCCTTTTAAGCTGATGCGCTCCATCAAGGCCCCGATATCTGTAAAATGAAAAGCTCGTACTGACCTGGAGAGATGACGGCCGAGATTATCCGCGCTGCGAGCCTTAGACGGCGGGAGGTTGGCAACGCCGTTGACGACGAGGTCGGAGAAGCCGTCGGTGACTTTGGGAGTGCGGCAGCTGCTCGTCATGCTCTTGGCGTGCCGCTTCCAGCGACCCAGCTTGCGCAGGATCTGCTTCCATACCCGACCTGCCACGCGAAGAGAACCGTGTGCTAACATACTTATAATAGCTCTTGAATGGAGATCCCAAGATACATATATAAAATAAATGCCGGTTTGTCGGGTACTCACTGATTCGCAATCTCATGCAGATCAGCTGTACTGGCGATGTCCCGTCCTGAATGTGCTATTTCGAGTGGAACAAAACTCGCCTGGTGAGTGGTGAGTGCCTACCCTTGTATACCTAATTAGACCACGGAGTGACGATGGAGAGTTAATCTAGTCAGGAAGGACTCGGGTCAGGAAGGTGACGGGTGATATGGACTCGGACACCAAGAAGCTACTACAACCCGCAGCAAAAACTCATTAAAACGATTGCGGTACCAAGACACGAATACACCTGACTCTAATCGTGTCTCAAGAAGCTGGTGAGAGATGCGGTGTACGAAACTCTCCATATCGCCTGCGCAATGGGGACGAGGCACCGCGGCAGCGTCCCTGCAAGGTTCAGAAAAGAGCTTCCAGCCACACGTTCTGGTGGGATGCTTTCCTGACCTGCAAATGGACGAGGCGCAGTTCTGGTGACTCCTTGTTGGTAATGAGGAGCCATGGCGGCCGAAAAGGTGACAAGTTTGAGCGGTATACAGGGCGGTTCGCCGCCGTGCGCAGAAGGGCGGTGTTTCGTCGTTGGGGAACTCGATTCGCTATTATAAGTTGAGAGCTCGACAAAAATGCAGCTGTTTCTTTTGATATTGTAAGAAAAACTCAACTACTTCACGCTGAAAATAAAAAGAACATACAAGAAATATTTCTAATGTTTTATTTTGCTATATTACAGTTCCATCAAATAATTAGGTTGACCGATGAGGTTGAGTTTCACCCTACAGGATCAGGTTACATCTAGTTAGTTGTAGACATAAAATGTCCACCAAATACCCAAAATACTACTATATTGTACAATTTCAGGCAGCCCACGGTTGTAACGGAACAGCGCGTGCCGAAGTGATCACCCCCTCCTCTTCAGCCCTGTCCCCTCCCGTCCCGTCGCCTCCGTGCCCCTCTGCTCCGTCACCCACAAACACTCGCCCTGCTGTTTGTTTCCTGACGAGATTAGCGGAAGGTAGTCAGATCGAACTGGTTACTTTGTCACGTTCATATCGTGTTTGTTGCGCGTGACTCCTCTTTCTGTCCCTGATTTCCGACCTACCCCGCGGCGCTTGGCCTTTCTCGTGTGCATTGTGATCATGACTGCCCTTCGTGCTTTGGAGCACGCAGTACTCGCTACAAGCGTCTCCTTTAGTACGGCGCGTCACCCGATAGCGCACGTGAGCTGCTCCTGCAGTCTGGGATCCGTGCGTCCTCGCAACGCGCGGCTAACAGTCGCCGCTTGCCCCGCGACGCCCGCGACGCCCGCGACGCCTGCGACGCAGTTACGAGGGCGGTTTTGTCGCGCGGTTTCTGCGAGGGCTGCCGCGGACGACGCCGCAAATGGCGGAGATAGCGACCCGTCAGATGCGGCGCCAGTGCCGGCGTTATCGATGAAAAAGGCGTCGCTGAAAGCTCGGCAGCAGACGTACCAACAAACGCCCGAGGAGACTGGTGAGCGACGAATGGCGGGATCTAAAGCGCAAATGACAGGTGTTCTCGTGGAGCATAAAGCGCTAATTGCGCTGCAACAGGCATACCAACAGAGGGTACTGGTGCTTGTGAGATGTAATGCACGCGATTCTAGCTTAATGCTGTAGGTACGTTAGTGAGTTACACCGGAACGCACGTTTTTTCTCTCCATCTTGTTCTGTATATCCCTTGCTGTGTTTACCGCACTTTTCCCCTCAAGCACCATCCCATGTATTCGTAATCTTGCAGTGTTCTTCCACTCCGGTTTTTGTTTCTATACTCCATACAGACCAACTCGATACCATCCTGGACCTCGAGCTTCAGAGCGCGTTCGACGTACCTCCACGTAAGCATTGCTGTTTCCACAGCTTGCACCAATCTCGTTTGTTGTTCTTCGCATCGCATCATGCCTCGCTTCATTGTGTGTAACGGAGCGAAGCACCATGCTTCGCTGTGCACATTCACATGAACCGCGCTTTGCTTGCGCCCAAGCACAAACGGAGCAAGATTGATTGCACAGTGCACAGTCAAATCTAGTGCTTACATTACACGGTTCTCCAGGTCAGTTATGGGACCTTGCTGATTGACGCATTTTATCTCTTTACAGACTTTGTGTAACGCATCAGACCGTATCTCGCCGCAATGTTGAGAGCATGTTCTTTGTCAGCCCCCCCACCCCTTCCGCTCCCTCCACTCCTCCCCCCCCCCCTGCTCTCCTCCTCCTCCTCCTCCTCCTCCTCCTCCTCCTCCTCCTCCTCCTCCTCCTCCTCCTCCTCCTCCTCCTCCTCCTCCTCCTCCTCCTCCTCCTCCTCCACTTCCTGCCCTTTTTGCCCTTCAATGCTTCCGCCCCTTTATTGCTTCCACCCCTTCCCCCCGACGCCCATTCCCCCTTCTTCTTCCGCTTTCCCGTCTCTCCAGGCAGCAATGAGATGGTATTCCTGGTCACAGGCGAGACTCATCTACCCATTCGATCCTCCCCTGATCCCCGTTCTCCCTCATCCCCGTTCTCCCTCATCCCCCCACGCCCCCCACACCATCACCAGGCCGCTATGAGATGGGATTCCTGGTGCACGAGATGTGCACCTGACGAGACTCCTCCACCCCTTCAATCCTCCCCTCCTCTCCATTCCCCCACATTCTCCCAATCTCCCAACACCCCCCCTCTCTCCAGGCCACTATGAGATGATATTTCTGGTGCATGAGGGGCGCACGGACGAGACCCCAGCCATTATTGAGAAGATCACAGGTGGGTGATGGATGGCTGTGGGGTTGGGTGCAGGTAAGGCACAGGTGGGGTGCAGGTGGGGCGCACAAGTGTGAGTGAGTGTTGTGCGTGTATTGTATTCCTGGCGCGCGGACGAGACTCCTGCCATCATAGAGAAGATCGCAGGTGGGCGATGAATGGCTGTGGGGTGGGGTGCAGGTGGGGTGCACAAATGTGAGTGAGTGTTGTGAGTTTATTGCCTTCCTGGTGCACGAGGGTCGAGACTCCTGCCATCATTGAGAAGATCACAGGTGGGTGATGGATGGCTGTGGGGCACAGGTGGGGTGCAGGTGGGGCGCACAAGTGTGAGTGAGTGTTGTGCGTGTATTGTATTCCTGGTGCACGGACGAGACTCCTGCCATCATTGAGAAGATCGCAGGTGGGCGATAATAGCATAATAACATTGATGTCAGTATAATAGCATTGGACTTGACTGCGATTGTAACGGCTGTTACTCCTTGTGTGATTACGCATGTGCCTACGGATGTGGGATGGGAATCAGTGTGGCTCTCTTCTCTTTGTGTGATGGTGACTGTGTGACTTATCACACAGAGAGCCGCACACTCACCTTTCCCCTTCACCTCCCGTTTCCCTTCCCACCTGCCCCTCTTCCCCCTCTGCGGGTTCCGATTCGCTCAGGCATTTCCTCATTAACATTGAGGTTCCCCTCCTGCTGTTGCCGCCCCCCTCCCCCTCCCCTCCCCTTTCCTTCCGTCCAGACATGGTGGAAACGCCCAGGGATATTTGTATGACTTTTGAGAATTCCTTCCTCCCCCTCCCCTTTTGAGAGTTCCTTCCTCCCCCTCCCCTTTTGAGAATTCTCAAAAGTCGTCCAGACATGGTGGAAACGCCCAGACTGTGGGCACAGTGGGCAATTCTGCTGTAACCCCCTCCCACTCCCCTCCCCCTCCTCTCTCCCTTCCTTCTCACACCTCATGCAGAGATGGTGAAGGATGCGAGGGGCACGGTGTGGAGGGTGAACGACTGGGGCATGAGGCGGCTGGCATACCGCATTCAGAAGACCATACCTCATGAACGTCGAATTCCCCCTTCTCTGTTGCCACCCCCCTCCCCTTTTTCCCCCTTTCCCCTTCTTCCAGAGATGTTGAGAAACGTGTGAGACCCAGTGTGCCTTTCTGCTGCAACTCCGTCCCCCTCTCCTCCACCTCCTCTCTCCCCTCACCCCTCCCTCGTGCAGAAATGGTGAAGGACGCTCGGGGCACAGTTTGGAGAGTCAATGATTGGGGCATGAGGCGGCTGGCATACCGCATTCAGAAGACGTGGCAGGCACAGTATATCCTCATGAACATCGAGGTTCCACTCCCCGCTGGTGCCCCAAACATCCCATCCCCTTTCCTTCCCCTCCACTTTCCCTCCTCGTCCCTCCCTTTTACTCCTCCTCCTCCCTCTTCCCCTCCCTCCTCCCACCGTCCCCTCCGCCACACACAGAGATGGTGAAGGACGCCCGAGGCACAGTTTGGAGAGTAAACGACTGGGGCATGAGGCGGCTGGCATACAGCATTCAGAAGACGTGGCAGGCGCAGTATATTCTCATGAACATCGAGGTTCCTCCCCCCTACTGCAACTCCCCTCCCCTCCCCCTCCCCTCGTGCAGAGATGGTGAAAGATGCTCGAGGCACGGTGTGGAGAGTAAACGACTGGGGCATGAGGCGGCTGGCATACCGCATTCAGAAGACATGGCAGGCGCAGTACATCCTCATGAACGTTGAAGTGCCATCAGATAAGATTGCAGCGATTGAGAAGGTTCTGCTGCAGGACGAGAGGGTGATTCGGCACCTTGTGACGAAGCAGGATAAGGCGGAGAAGAAGGACTACCCCGCTCCGGTAATGTACAATGCGGTTGGGAGCAGTGAGGATGAGTCGGATGAGGAGGAGGAGGATGAAGATGAGGATGACGAAGAGGATTGGGAGGATGAGGATGAGGATGAGGATGAGGAGGAAGAGGGGGAGGACGAGAGTGAGGGAAAGAGGTTACCAGCAGAGGTAACAAGTCATAAAGCCTAGAGCATCATGTACAAGATGAATAGCTGATTGGTTTTGTACCTTGTGTAAACACCGCTGGCAATATCTCAGGGCATGTTTGATGTGATGATAAGGAGAAGAGGAGGATACGTTGCAGAGGACAAGGGGAACAATGGGCGACTAGTGTTGCTAATGAGTAATGTCATAGATGGCTATTTCGATTTGTCCGTGCTGGAAAGGTGACTTATTTCTAAAATTGTAATAGTGGTAGTTCAAGTCTTTTT